AGCATCATCAGTCATCAAAAATCATTAGTAGCAGCCAAAGGTAATAAAATCCCTCGCTGGCTTGTGCTTACATTCTGCTGACGCGCCATGTTCCATGAGATCATTTTCCCCTCTCACTCCGAGTGCTGCTCAGCATTCTAATTCAAGCCTTAATTACTATAATTGGTAAATGCAAATTAACAGCAATTGGACTTGACCGGGGTCATAAATCCACAGCTCAGAAGTTCTGGCAATTCAGAGCGACCAACGTCGGCAGGGGTGCTTAACTTACCTAAGTAATTGCAGGTCTAATGAATCATAATGCTTGTGAATCCCCCCAGGCACACACATGCACAGTGGGACTCCGCTTTAAGTCTCTGGGAGTCATAGAAAACAAATTAAGAAGCCACTTTGCTCCTCACAGATACTGTGGAGGAGCTGCTAGGGGCTAATGGTGTTTGTTTAATAACATTTGGTTCCACAGAGCAAGAGTATTCACAACCACAATTGAACATTTTAATTTTTAGAAATGGGAAAAAACCCTTCGCCTCACAGATGTTGCTTTAGCATTTGCATAGACCCCACAACAAGATGTAATGACACAGCAAGACATGCACCGTTAGTGATTCAATCAATCAATCAAAGTTTATTTATATAGCCCATCATTTTACATGTGTCACATTGGACTTTACAGTTTGTACAGGATATGAATATGACACCCTCTGTCCTTGGATCCTCACATTCGACAAGGAAACTCTCCCAAAAATTGAAGAAACTTTGAGGAGAGAAACAGAGGAGGATCCCTCTCTCAGGGTGGACAGACTACATTTTGCATGCTAAGTAGCCATGTGCTTTCTGGGGCTTAATCTTTATTGATATAATTTAAACATTCACGATAGTAATTGTAGCGTCCCCGGCTGAATGATGTTCAGACTCTCTAACTGATGGTATCTGTTTATTGATCCCCCTTGCTTATATACAATCATTACCAACGTAAGAGCTTGTGCCCTTATCAGCCAGGTGCTAAAAACCCAATGTAACTATTTAGTATATGTTCATTTATTCGTCATCTATCCGTCATTATACATTTATGTCAAGTCTTTACACTGCTCCGTTGCCCATTAACTTCAAAATAAGAGTCCCGATCTTATTACTATCAAAATAAAAGTGCAAAACGAAAACTTTGCCATAGGAAAATATTGGCATACAAATACAATCACTTCTCTAAAAGGTAACTCATTTTAAATATAGTTAGACATATTAAAGGTCATTTACAATAATAATAATATTAGTAATAAGCTTTATATTTGTATAGCACCTTTTATACAAGAATTGTAGCCAAACTCGCTTCACAGCAGTTCAATAGACAAATTAGTATAAAATGACAATGTAGAGGAGCTACAGTCAAATTTCCACAAATATATCCACTAAGATTAATACATGACGACTTATGACTCGGACTTGGACTTGAAAAGTGGGGACTCGAGAGTGACTTGGACTTGTGAATTGGTGACTTGACTTATTGTATATGACTCCTCCTTAAGTTGTCCTTGGGCAGACACACACACCGTTCACTTATGTGCTCCTTTAGTTCAAATATACAGTAGTTGAACTTTGCTCAAAACAAAGAGCACTCATGAATATAGCACTCACAGTATCATGCGTACAAACGTAATTTAGCATGACTTGGCCATATTAAGCCTGAGACCTCAATACAATTTCTACAGGGTAACTATGCTCTACCAGGAGAGCAGCAGCAGAGGGCCCCATCTCTGTTAAACATACACTTACATGAACACACACACACACACACACACACACACACACACACACACACACACACACACACACACACCCCTGCCTCAGTTGAACGTGTAAGCAGACATGTATTGCATGTGATTGTTGGGGAAATGGAGTGAAAAACAGGTCTGAGGTTGTGGGTTCAGGTTGCGGGTTTCAGAGTGACGAGATCCAGAAGCCAGCGGCGGTTGGTATTACCCTGCTGCTTCCTGCCCCGCTGGCCTGGGGAGGGACGGGGGGATGGATGGATGGAGCTATAGAGGGGAAGGCCATGTAAAGCCAAGTGCCATGATACAGCCTGGCCCACAGAATCCCCTCGGCATGAATCAAGCCTACTGCTCCCACATGCCTACCATCGGGCCCTGCCCCCAGCCAGATCCCTCTGCGGTTTGTTTTACAACCTTGAACCACAGTTAGCCTTGAAACCCTTCGCTTTGTAATCAGGACCTCCAGAGATTTAACTTTTGACCTTTTTCAACGTGACCTTTTACTTAGTTACCCATTGGATCTCTTCAATGTGTTTCTGTAACAGTCTTTTAATGTATTTCCCACAACACATTGTTTTTGTAATTCACTCTCAACTATCATGCAAGTTCTATATTCCAGGTCTGGATGCTATTTGAAAGTTTTGTGCAACAAAAAAGTAAATTCTTCTCTGGTAACATCTTGCCTCTGTGGCATGCAGCAGCACCAGTGTGTGCATGAGCTCATTTGCTGTTTATCAGTATATACATGTGCATTAGCTAATGTGTGTATTAACTGGCATTATGCATGTGCCCAGAAGGTTCCTCTTTGAATCCCATTACCACTTCAGCACACGTTCCAAAATCTGCTACATGTTAAGCAATCAGTCCTCCCACACGTCTACTTAATAACACAAATCATGATTGATGCTCTGCCTAGTAAGTGCATAGATCCAAAGAATGCTAAACAGAGGAACATAACTTGCAATTAATTGCCCATTTGTAAATGTGTCTGCATATCTCCTGTTCAAAGACCTTTAGAACATCATTTTTATTTTCTCTGTGATGAAGTACCAGTGAGTCTCTCTTTCCAAGTCCTGCATTCTTGTTCCATAACACTGCCATGCCTCCACAATTGTGTCTGATGTTTCCCACTGCAGGGTTTGAATTGGATGGAGGTTTTGACTTTGAGCCAAAATAATGTTGGAAGGCAGCCCTCATATTTCAGCTCTGATGTGAAATCGGCCCAGTGGCTTTTCGGACTCAAATTGGGTTTGAATTGTGTCAGAAGAAGGAGAAATGTTTTTAAAATAATAGCCATGAATGCCGTGAAACTGAGCGTTCTTTCCGCAGAGCTTTTGATCCGTTTTTATAAATAGCAGAATTTTGTCGTAAAAAAATAATGTTTTTGTGGTCTTTTCCTGCAATTAAGATATGCTTGGCTCAGGAACAAGGGCAAACTAAGACTCTCCCGCTCTCTCTCTTTCTCCCCCCTCTCCCTTCCCTCCCTCCTTGCCTTCCTCATCTGCAGAAGTATGTCATTTATGGCTTGTTATTTTCATTTTGGTCTATGTTTTACACATGGCAGTGGCAGGCAGATGTCTGTGAGACGGAGCAGGGTGTGTTCCACCTGCTTGCTCTGTATGTTTTCAGTGTGTCCTTGTATATGGTGGGCAGAGTAAGTGCCGTGCTTTCCCAAGGCATTCTCTTATTTCTTTTGGCCAAGCAGTGTGGTCTTCACATGACCAATCAAATATGTCAAACCACCAGTGTTTTCCCCCCACATGTACAACAAGAAAATCTGGCTTCAATTATTATTGCACCCCAAGGAGAACTTCCAAAATTCCTCCCCTCCTCATTTGTCAGAAATGAAGCTCTCCTGTTTCCTGCGATTGGCTGAAATATGTCTTTTGATATTAAATCACCACGGTTTCCACTGGCTGCATGAACAAGACAAATGTTTATCATATATATGTATGTCATTGTAGATGACCCCTCAGCTTAGCAATGCAGAGGCTTGGCTGCCGACTCCCATGTTATGTTGATTATGAGTAAGAGAGTCTCCTAAATAAGCTGAAGTAAAGAGATAATTTGGAAAGCATGTGAGGTAACTGCGGTTTGTTTAATGTGAAAAATACAGTTTGGGGTTGGGGAGGGTGATGGAGGTACTGTTACAAAAGCCCTAATGAATGTAGACTGACACATCCCACCCAAATCTTACGGGGTTCTTGGTTTGATTTTTATTATACTTTGTTGATAAATGCGGTTCCAAATGTTGATTAAGGATCTGTTTCACTTGTTTGTATGTCAACAAATCCAGCTCAATCCAGTTATACACCTCTGATCTTCCATTGCCATTGTTTTTCTACTTGGTGCTCATTGTCATAACATCACGCTCTGGTAGAGGCCTCTCCAGTGTGGCTAAGGGGGGAAACGCTATATGAAAATTGCCGTTGACGTTGCCGAAACAAATAAAGCTACTCATGCTGCCGCTACATCTGTAGCCATTTTAAGCCCTTATTTATACCATTTAAGCTCTCATTTGAATTCACCAGCACAAATAAACATATCATAACGAATTGAAAGCCCTGATGTCATATGCAGATGTTACATTTTGATTATTCCTTCTGCTTCGTGAATGTATCAGGATCTCTCAAAGGCAAGATGACATCACTGTTTCTTGGCGACCGTATTTACTCTCCTGACTGTTGCAGTCCATGTACAGAGAGAGCGCTGCCCACTGCTGACATATCTCTACATCTCCTCCAGCCTCACACTGTTTGTGTATACTGTACAAGTTGTTTGGAGACAGAAATAGAAAGAATGAGGTAGTGAGAGACTCCAGACTACTGTGCCGTCCAGCCAAAGGTGTAAGAACTGTTTACTGCCAATGATAAACTGGCATAAATCTGAATCTTTTAAGAGGGAAATGATTCCACCTGAGGCCCGTGGGGTTATTAAGTGAGGCCTGGCTGTACCAGAAACTTTGATTTAGTCATAAATCATCCTGGGAAGAGCTTGTTCTACTAAATCCTGTAGAGAGCCAGAGGGAGGAAGGAAGTCAGCAGATATTCGGGTCTGCTGCCAGAACCTCTTACTGGTTCAGTAAACAGACTACCTGGTCCTCTCCTGGAGTCATCTCCATTGTAATTGCCCATATAAAATACTGCCAGAGACAATATGACCCTCACAACAACAAATAAAATCCCTGCATTATGTTGTCCGCCTGTTAGTGAGTTGTCCTTGTCTTCCCTGTAGACATGCACTGCACCTCGGCATACTGCGTGACCCGGGTTCAGAAGTGGAGGACCGGCAGTATCAGGTGGACTTCCAGTCCATCAACATTGGAACGGCTCACTGGGAGCAACTGAAGCCGGAGAAGGAGGGGACCAAAGGAGGCGTGTCCGTAGAGAGTGAGAGGAGCTCCCAGAACCCAGCGCTGGAGTGGAACATGGCCAGCAGGTCAGGACTCTCCATATGTTATGTGAACACTTAAGGGGAATGTGTTTGAATAATTCATTCAAGTATGCACAAATTGAACATTTGGTTCCTTCTTAATATAAAAAATAATATTTGATGCATTTAAAAATAAATACAAATCTCGTTCTCCCCTGTGAACCAATGTGACCATTACACCACAAAATCAATTCACCCGGCTTTACCTAAGATTCTTAAATAACTTTTGTTTTACTAACATGCTTCCAGATTGAATGATCAAAAAAAGCATGGCATGCAGAAAGATGGCCATTGAAATCTCATTCTACTTGGATGAATCTCTCAAAATGATCACAGCAAGTATAATTCACATTTCTGCTAGAAATGAAATTGTTACTCCCCTATCAGGTGCTGTGTGTGTGTTCTGAATGTATCTCATCAGTCTTGATGTAGGAGCAGCATGTAGTTATTGAGTTAGCGCCCCTATCATGGAGTCTCTCCATGCACATAATTACAAACCCTGTCATTTTTTATAGACTCGGGAGCTAAAACAAGCACAAGTGTAACAGCCTGCTTGGCCCACATCCTTTTTTTCCACTCATGTTTTCAGAGGGAACAAACCCAAAAATCACAGGCAAAGCCTCCAGATTTGTTCCCTATCAACTAAAAATAACCTTATGGAAGAACACAGTGCAGAGCCAAAAGAGGCCTGATGGAGACCTCAGGTTATCAGAGCGTACACTGAAAACCCAGAACGTTGACTTTATTTAAATGTGTTATCAACATTTCACATAACTGTATTAGGTTAGTTAAAAACAATACAATTAAGTTGAACCTACTTAAACTTAAAAAGTTAGCTTTCAACTAACCTAATACAGATATGTGACATTTGTTGACATAATACCTTTAATTCAACTTTTCAGTTTTTTCCGTGTAGACACACTCAAGCACATGCACTCTCCAATGCACATTCACACAAACAATCTAACTGTAAGTTAAACACATAATAGTATTGGATCATTTCAAACATACTGCAGGCTGCTGGGGAAACTGAAATCTCAGACCGGCCCTTCCACTTAAGATCAGATCATTGCACAGAGTGTAAGACAATGAAATGCAGTTAGCATCTTACCAGGAGTGCAGAACAATTAGTTAAGTGCAGAGTGATGTCTAGTATAATGTATATATATACATCTGGCAGATATAAACAAAAGTATATACACTTTGAAAACTATAAGAAGGTATAAACACCAGCAGTATAGAAATGAATACACTATAGATGAAGTACAAACAAGGCACATTATAATACAGAGTTCAGCCAGGTGACAGCAGTTGACCTGTTGCAAGCCGTCTCTCTCTCCTCCCTCATTTCCTTCCAGCTTCCTGTGAACACTATCTAACTAAGGCAAAACAATGTCACCTCTTTCAGGTGTAAAGAAATTGTCTTTTTTGAGACTGAGTTAGGTAAATGCCAATTGATGCTTAGGTTCTGACTATACCTGATTCAAACCTAAATATAAAATGAAGGCAAACGTAATATCTCTCCAATTTCCGATTTACTATTTTATGTTTAGACTTGAATAACTTGAATACTTTAATAATTCCACTCAATAACACTATGACAATAATGTGTATCTATCAGATGCTACCTAGTAGAACACCCTGATTTATTTGTACTCTCCCTCTCCCCAGTAGTTTTGACCATCTATCCCAAAGTAGTAGTTTTTCTTGATCTTCCTTTTCCAGGGTCTGTTGTGTTACAGCCCTTTTAAAACCTGTTAAGCCCGGCTGCCCCCGCCCAGACGCAACATCTTGCAAGAAACAGCGTCTCAAGGCTTCTTAACATTTAACAACCTATTAATGATGCATACCCACTTAACGGGAAGAAACTCAGCTAACAGACGATATGAACCATTTTTACCAAAACGGAACACAAAACTTGCTGAACTAGCAGCCAGGAAAGAGCAAGAAAACAACTTCCGGTTTCAGAGCCATAACAATAAATATGTCTTACCTTTGCTGTTTTGTGATCAAGCGTTGTGTTCAATGGCATACAAATGCTGCTGAAGGTTAATCCAATATCTCTGTGTCACTTTGAAATGATTTCTGATAATCCATCATTCCTTTATCGGCAATAAACTTGGAATATGGTTGAGCAGGTCTGGGCGTCTGGTTCAGGGCATGCTGCATACACATCATTCTAACTAACCAATGGTAATGTTTACATGGATTTATGAACTGCCCCTCGATTCTATTGGCTCTAAATGTTACAAAGAGGTGCCAATCACCCAATTGGACCAATGGGTCCAGGCGGACTCACCTTTGGGTACATTTGGTTAACATCAGTGCCATTTGACTTTTCTCAGGTACCACACTGTAAAACTCATTTTATTTCATTGAAATATCACTATAGGTATAGTATATAAGTTTTCAACTTTTTTGGAAAGTTCAGCCTGACCTCTATGCCCTTTTTGGCCACATATATATTACGCGGGGCCGTATCTCTGGAACCCATTGGTCCAATTGGGTGATTGGCACCTCTTTGTAACATTTAGAGCCAATAGAATCGAGGGGCAGTTCATAAATCCATGTAAACATTACCATTGGTTANACTGCTGATACAATAATTCATGACCCATTATCCATTGCCCAAATATTTAATCAGCATTTCGCTGATTCGTTCCACACTACTATCTGACTCCTATTTGGCGACTGGTATTTCTAATAGTAACTCATACTGCAACAGTCCTTTTTCTTTTAAGAAGATTCTACCACACGAAGTTCATAATACTATCACAGAATTAAAAGTGGATGGCAGTGCAGGACTCGATGGTATAGAAAACAGGTTCATAAAATTGGCGTCCCATATTCTCAGTGTACCCATTGCTGATTTGTTCAACCTGTCTTAGTCCACCTGTGAGTTGCCGACTATTTGGAAATCTGCACGCATCATTCCACGTGCATAAAGGTGGTGATTTACTTGATACAAATAATTATAGACCAATCTCTATAATCTGCTCTATTTCCAAAGTTTTGGAGAAAATAATTTATAATCAACTGTCACATTATCTCAATACTTATAATATTTTATCTCCGGTTCAATCTGGTTTCAGGCCTAATCACTCCACAACAACTGCCCTACTTAAATTCACGAATGACTTGTACTCTGCTGCAGATGATGGTGAACTCACAGGTGCCATTTTTATTGACTTGACAAAAGCCTTTGATTTCGTTGATCGATATCTGCTCTTGGATAAACTTCACGGCATTGGCCTTTCTAATAATACAGTGTTATGGTTTAACTCGTACCTTCACAGTAGAAAGCAATGTGTGGTTGTTAATGGAAAACAGTCTGACCTGTTGATCCAACAAAAGGGTGTACCCCAAGGATCAACTCTGGGCCCACTTCTGTTCTCTATTTACATAAATGATTTATCTTCTTGTCTCATTAATTGTTGTACTCACCTTTATGCTGATGACACTGTCATATATACTGTACATCCAAATCAGATTTTTCACAAATTCAGATCTCTCTTCAATCGGATTTTAATATCTTACAGGACTGGCTATCACACAATAAACTACTGCTTAACAAAACAAAATCTTATACCATGGTCTTTGGTACCAGGCAGAAGCTCAAATCCAAACCTAATTTAGTGATAACATGTAAGGATGGCACTTCTCTGCATAAAGTTGATAGCTTTAAATATCTTGGTGTATGGCTAGACTCTGAACTTTCATTTAAACTACATATAAAGCATGTAATACAAAAAGTCAATTACGGAATTGGTGTCTTATACCGCTCTCGCAATTGTTTTACGCTCAGTGTCCGAAAGAGAATTGCTTCTCAACTTATTCTTCCGATTATGGACTATTGTGATGTTGTCTACCAAAATGCACATAAATCAGATCTTGCTCCACTCAACATAGCCTACAAAAGACTATGCAGATTTGTTCTTGGTTGTCCTTTTCGTACACATCACTGCACAATGTATAACCATTAAATGGCCTTCTTTAAATGTAAGAAGACACATGCATTGGCTTCAGCTGATATTTAAATGCATTTATCTTAACTATCCCCCTTATTTAAAGCAGTATGTTGTACCCTACTCACCAAATCATCAAGTTAGACATTCTGTTCAGATTTATTTCTCTGTCCCCTCTGCAAAAAAATTGATTGGCAGAAGAGCGTTCATTTTCAAAGCCCCAACTGACTGGAATACTTGACCTGCTGCTATTAGATCTCTTGCATCATTGGGTATATTTAAACATGCATTGTTATCTCACTTTCAACTGTCTGTACTTGTTATTAACTGATATTGATGAAACTGATTTGCTCGACTGTCTCAAATTGTAATGATTGTGTGCATTGCTTGAATTTCACTTAACAGACTGTATGTGGTTTGTCTTGTGTGTCATGTTTTGCATTTTGTCTTGTTTATGTATGCCTGTAAGTTGTTGCTACTGTATTGTCGGGACCCCCTTGAAAACGAGATGGTGCATCTCAAGGGGTTTATTGAGGTATCAAATAAAACATTTGATTTGTGTTCTTTCTGTGGAGAAAAAAGTGGTGATTTACAGCCTGGAAGGAGGAGCTGCCGGGAAAGATGAAGACGTGCACACTTTTACGGTCTAGAACTTCTCAAATAATGTAAATTGTAGATCTGACACACATAACTCAAACTAACCAAAACACACAGGTCAGCTGTTCAGGCAATAAGCAGTATTACAGTACTGGCAAATCACAGGCCGCAGGCAGATACAATGTGGGGACCATGTGTTTGCATGTGTATGCACATGTGTGTGTGAGGGTATACATTTGTGTGTTGCTGGGTGACAGTGCCGATGACAGAGCGGTGAGATAAGTCCCAGAAGCCACCCTATCATCTATTCATAGCTCCCTGACTGTGGGACCTCCTGCTGCTGAAAGCTGCCTGATCTCAACCCAGCCTTACTTTATCATCATTAAAATCGAGCTTAAACACAGAGGAGAAGTCAAACTGTGACGGACTGTGGCTAATGCTGCGATAAACATCCAATAATGCTTTGACACAAAGAGCAACAAATCTGCCTTTGGACGGCTTAGAAATCATGTTGCCATTGCTTTGCATCTGCATTTTGATTAAAGCAATGCACAATGACACATAATGATTATGAGAAAATTAAAATGTTGGATAGCGTCTGCATGTACGTATTCGAGTGTAATAATACAAGTGTGTGTGAGAGTGGCTAGATCCTCTTTTAAAAACAGCAGACATTCACACAAGGCTCACACATATTGCCCACGCGCCTGGCTCCTCTCAGCACTGCCAGGGAACCAAAAGCCCCAACAAAACAAATTCATTAACCCAGACAATAAAACACAGCTGTGAGGGGCGAGAGGAACTGTTTGAGATCAGTGTCCAGGATCAGGGAGAATCTGCAACTTTACAATAAGACTACCCTTATAAAGGATTCATAAAGGGTTTAGAATTAGGTTATGAATTAGGTTGTTATAAACCAGTTCTAGTTTTCATACATCAACACAGGCTCACTATTTGGCAAGATGACTTAGCCTAGCTTACTTCGCCTTCTTCATCAGCCAACATCCTTGGTATCTGTTGTTCACTGAGTTGATTCCCCCCATCCATCTTGATGTTTCTTGGCATCTCTTTATGACCATTTATTTACGAGTTACTAACATTTATAGTTGCCAAAAGGGAGCCTTGTAAAGTGTAAAACACATTCCCATTTATTAATGAGTTAGTACCATTTCTAATAAGGCTTAGCAGTACAGATGAATGTGGGCTCACTATTTGGCAAGCAACCGGTCACAGTTGCCCTGTTTATCTCATGTCTTATACAAGCTTATTAAGGATTTATAAAGTGTTCACAACCTAATTAATAAATGGATTTCAAACTATTCGTAAACCCTTTATAAGGGTAGTCTTATTGTAAAGTGCTACCCAATCTGTTCAGGGCAAACAGAAAGTTCTCAAATTGTCTAAGAAAGAAACAAATCAAAATCAAAAAGAAAGGAAAAGATGTGCATAATAGAGAGTGAGTAAGAACAGTGTTTCATTTGAACCATTGCTGGGGACAGAGCTGCCTGAGAGTGGGGAGGCTTTACTGAAGCACAAAAATACAAAGAATTCCCCTGCACCACAGATCCAGGATCTGCTTTTAATTGAATCCTTTGAACAGGTTGTATAAAGGAAGTACAAACAAAGCTGTCAAATATTATAAATATCATTATAGAAGTTGGGTTTGAATTCAGAAAGAAAAGAAGAAGAAAGAAAGATACATGCACCAAATCCAGATTATGATCTTGTGGAAACTGGGAATGGAAATACATCTGAGTTGCATGATTATTATTTGTAAGCTGTTAGCAGGGGGTGGACAGCCATCTGGTTTATTATATCAAGTTAGTCTATTCTCACTACATTTAAAACCTTTACCTGTTCCAGATTCATACTCCAAACAATGTCAATGCACATATTACTGATATTATTTGATTGTGGTGTGTCTAATGTGTTGGTGGGGGGAGACAGGCTGCCGGCAGAGCACACTGCGAGTGAAGTGAAGCTCGGGTCTGTAGTTAAAGTCACCACCAGAGGGCTCTGCAGCTCATAGAATGAGCTTCTGATCATTGGTTAGTCACACTGCCCCCCCTTCAGTGGGCCTGGCCAAGCAGCCGGACACACGCAGCCGCCAAAAGACTTACGACACCGAGATAGATGGAGGTTCAAATAGTTTTACAGTGAGTGTCCAAAAAGTCAAAGCAAAAGCACATTTATCCAGGAAAAGCTCCATGCTCTGCAGCTGCACAGAGGTGAAGACACACACTGACTGACCTCAGTGTTAATGATACTGTTGTGCTCCATTATGGCACTACTATAAAACAGAATGGGTAAAAAACATGGTACAGTGCACCTGAAATGAATATGGTATAATAAAAGTGAGAGTTTCCAACAACTGTGACAAAAAGGAAATATTAAAGGAAAGCTTAGGAATTTTCCCAAGCATATATTCTACATTGTTCAATAGTAGATGGATGATCATTATATTACATCACTCTGTACCCGTGGGTCATTTAAATTTCACTCAATCCAGCTGAAGGTAACAATAACACAGTTGGATTTCGGAACAAAAATGTGACTGTTCCAATCTCTGGATTAACTAGGAAACATGGCTGGGAAAAAAACATAACACTTAGCAGCTACTGTCACAGTGCCGTTGAGCAATACCAGTAATCCCCAGCTCTTCAGGTTTTAGTTGCTCAGCACAAATGCACAGAAAAAGTGTAATCACACAGGAAGGGTTTTGTTGTGGTGTAGGTGTTTGCCTTGAGAAATAAAGGTACAAAATAAATAAATACATTCATAGAGTAAAGCTGAATCTTTTTTTGTGTGCGTTGATTTCTAATTTCTCTAACCTTTGCCAATGGACCTCCCAGAATAGCAGCTTTCTGAACTGACTTGAACCTGGATGAACCCTCTGCAGCCGTTAGCTGCCCCTCAACAGAATCAAGCCATGAATCACTAAAAGTCAGGGGTGAGGGCTCCGAGATCACCCAAATGAAAACCAGATGCACCACTAGCACCTCCTTAGGACTAACTGTATAAACAACTAAATAAATGAATAAATAAAGAAGCCCGCTAACTTAAAAAAATGTCTTCTCTCATTCGTTTATACAGTGTTGCACTTAAAAATCTGACAAACACAATCGACTTGATTGTAAGAATTTATTTACATTTTGTTTTGCTTCAAGGTTTGCTCTGTGAATGAACATGAAGCAATAGTAATGCTGCTTGTATTGCCACTATGAATTGATAAAGCACATTCATAATGGCAGCAGAAACAAAAAGCGATCCCTGTTTTTGTGTTGGAAAAACACATTTTCCAACAAATCCGACTACATTACTTCATGAAAGCCTCTACAAGGTCTGAGTCATCTGACGCATTCGCTGCACGTCAGCACATACATCCTCTCAAAAAGAATCCCAAGAAAAGATAGAAGTAAATCACCTCTGACTTAATCTAACCCCACTCCCCCTTCTTCTCTCCCCTGTCCCCTTCCCTCCTCTACGACTCCCATCTCACCACAGCTGGTAAATATTGTTATATTGTGTTCCATTAGAATGCTTTATTAAGCGCTCAGACGGGGCAAATGGCGCCTTGGAGCTCCCTATCCTGTAAACAATAGGAAGTGCCCTGAAAGCTGCAGCTGAGTACAGCATAGTAAACTAAGGTCACATGAGATAACCGCCTTACTCCGAGTGAGTAAATATTTAAATGTTTTACAGCCATCCAAAATAGTGAGGGTCACTGTATCGGGATATAAGTGGGGATGTTTCTTTGAGCTAAACTTGCAAAGCCTCGTGTAGAGATTTGTACATGGATTCATGTTAAACTCTGGTACTTCATGAAGATTAACAAGATGACAATCATCAGCAAGAGAGAGCATCAAATGTGAGCAAAGAAATACAACGAGCACTATTTGAACTTTTGCACGTGTGTTTCTGGGTAAAGCACAGTTCATATATGATATATTTCCGACACACTGAAGGATTGAGAAGACTAACTTGATTGTTGTTGTTGACGTACCTCAGCACTTTTCTCAGGAGTGTCCATCCCCACCATGTTTTCTGTGAGGAGCTGCTGGAGGAGCTGCACCTGGGCCACGCTGAGGTAGAAATCCAAACTGCTGGTCACATTCACCTCCAGAGAGTGGCCACACACCACTACCTCCTACAGGGATGAAGGAGATAGGACAGGGGGAAATGAAAAGAAGGAAGTGGAAGGAGTGAGCAGGAAAGTCATGCAATAACACATCAGGATTGTTTGTGACCTCGTGCACTTTTCTCTTTTCTCTTGTTTTCAACTTTTATTCTCTTGGTCTATTTGCCTCCTATGTTGCTCCCTTTAGCTTGGTTGTTCCCTCCTTAACCTATTCACCTTTCCTCTGCAGGGTCCCACCCACAGCCAGCAGTTCAGACCTCAGCCTGGAGGCTACATCTAACAGGATATAACTCACTAACACCCCCGGTTCAACCACACACATGGGCCAGACCTACAGTAACGCCGCACAGTGGTCTTTGGCAACTACTGAACATCCTCTGTTTGATTTATGTGTCATTAATATCACCATTTCTGTCAGGGTTTTCTCATTGAAATGTCTACAGCCTCTTACATGTACAACCCTTATGATCATTCTATCAGTAGGTTTTAGTAGCAGTCATTTCAATATGGAAAGTCATAATATTAAAAGATTAGAACAATAGTTACAGAACATGTTGCAATGGTGAATAAATGTAGACTTTACAGTATAAATGAACAAAATACAAAGCACTTTCGATTTTAAAGTATAAATTAATAATTCAATAAAGATAGCTGATGGCAGAAATAATTTGATTGCAGTTCAAAGTTAGCTGAAAAGGATTTTTCTTTTACATTGTATTAAAACATAGTTGTAATTGATATAGCCATGAGGTTCAGAGTCCTGTTTGTGTTTTGATTGGCTCTGAGTCTCAATATCTCAGGGAGTTATAAAATCACACTGTGTGTGTGCTTGTGTGTCAGCGCAAACTATGGATTAGCTGTTACGCATTGTCAGGGGGTGCGTGAGCATGGACGAGGCATCAAAGAAGCAGGAAGTCTCAGAGAGCCGTGCCAGAAAACATCAGCTGTATAAGCAGAAAGGTTTGAACTCTGTGGGTCAAAAGCCTCCATTACACAGCAGACCAGCGGAGGGACTCCTATTGAGTAAGTTACTGTATGTTGGGAAAACATGTAAATACTTCTGACATGTCACATAATTAATGTCTATTTTCATATGGACAACGGATTGAGAGAGTAATAGTTTCAATCATGGCTATAACAGGTCGGTGTCAAAGGGCATTCAATGTCAAAGTAGGTAGCATTGAAGGAAAAGAAAAATCTGATCCACTGGGAGTGACTTTTTTAAGCAAATGGCTACATGCTCACGTAAAACATACATTACATTTGACCGTTTGAGTGAGCTTGCAACAGCAGAGGTGACTGCACTCTCCAGAAAATGTAGATACTTTTGAAAGAAAGATGTAACGCTGGATGTGTAAAAAGAACGGTGTGGAGTGGACTGACCTCTGCCTGACCGCAGTCAGGGGAAATGTTCTTGCTGAAGATGATGGCTGGGGCAGCGGTCACCCGGACAGAGAAGTCCGTCAGGATCGGTGTCAGAATGGCCCGCCTCTCCTGGTGCCTCCTGATACTGAACAGAGACAAACAGCATCACACTGTGGAGTTTCCAGAACTTATATGTTGCTGCTCATATTCTCTTATAAATAAGGTCAAATACTGGTTGGATTTGAACATTTGGAGATACTGCAGTCAAGGTTCTTTAATTGGAAATATATACTTTCAAGCAGGTACACACAATGAATGTCCCTCACAGCATCTCAATAGACGTTTTCATTTAAATACATAATCATACAAAAATCACCCCCTTTGTTTATTGTATTAGGTAATTTATGTATTTTATCCATATATTTGTATTTATTATACAAATGTTCTCTTGTCGTCCTTCATATTTTTTGTTTAAGCTGTGTGGATTTGCTAAGGGAAAACGAAAAAAAAAACAGAAGGCAATATTGTGAACATGTGTGTATAAATAGCTGGAACTGAAATAAAAACTAAGTAAAAAATGCATGTATTCATTACTTGCTTTCCCCATGTGTACCAATGTTTTACACTTTTAAAGTAATATAACATTTATTCAAACTTTTTTTTAAAAGGATTTTGAAAGTATTTATAAACAATATAGACACAGAAGAAAACATGTAGTTGACTATGATTGTTTTGAAGTTGTTGAAACTTAAATGAAAAAGTTAGTAAAAAGAAAACTAATAATGACTTTAGGTGAGTGATTATAGCTTCACACTACAATACAAACTGCAACCATAATAGAACACTTATTCACGAACGTTCCAAAAAACCTTTATTTACTAATGACTTGTTATGGTTACCAGTTCTGAAATATGTGTAACACTTTCCCATCTGCAGAGGAACACAACAGTCAAAACCACAAATGTTCAAAACTGAGATTTTGTTTTGCTCTTAGCTGACAGGCAGACACATATTTCAAACTTGCTCTGGCTTTTTAAATTCAAACCAGTAGGATATAAAATCTAAATTGATTTTGCCCTGAAGGCCAGACATGTGAATTATTCCCATAAGTAATCCCTCTAAATGTTGGTATAACACATTTGAGCTGGAAGTTTGAATATGGTTACAGAGAAAGAGTGAGATGTTTTTGACAAGTCTCACTCAGGAACACCCCTTCACTGTATACACAACATAACATATAGGCATTCTCACATCAGCTCTCTCCATTTCACTAATGTTCATTCCCACAATCAACTCATATTTGTGGGAACATTTGTTAGTAGTTAAACAAATATACAAGGGGGCTTTATAAAGTGGTGTTAATTGCCACATCTGCTGCTATTAAAACAATCAAGTGGTACAGTTTCCATTATTTATAGTTGGCTGGGATTATAAAAGGATCTGTTTCTAGGTGGCCTACAGTACAGTTCTTAAGCAGAACCAATATCATATTCACTTCTGCAAACTCAAATGTGCATTACCAGTGCCCTTAAGGGATTATTTTCGGACACATTTCTCTGCGCAGAGTTGAAGGAGGCCTAATTCAGAGGTGAAATGAAATCTGAGAGCAATTGGTGTTTGCTAATCTCCCCTCAGACAGGAATTGAAACAATGAGTGTCCCGTTGCAGGGGACAGGTGCTATCATTCACCAGCACAGCTCAGAGGCGTGAGGCTCGGCTTACCAGCAATGTGGGGTCCTCTGACTGGGAGATCTGTGTGTGTGTGTGTGTGTGTGTGTGTGTGTGTGTGTGTGTGTGTGTGTGTGTGTGTGTGTGTGTGTGTGTGTGTGTGTGCACCTTCAGAATGACTTTGTTTTCACACAAAGCTACAGTGTGAACAGTCAGTGGAGATATCTGTGGCATGGACAATGGAGGGACACAGATCAGAGCTCCATGACACAGGTCTTTCCTAGCCGGCAACTCCACACTGTGATGAGGACAGATCCTGTCAGTGGATCCATAGTGCAGGAATTTTCCCGCAAAACCTCAGGAAGCCAAGTGAGGCCACTGCAGATCTGCAACTACTGGAATTGAACCCAAAAACAGCAGAGTGAACATGCCACTAATCCAAAACTGGAGAGAGAGCTGGGGGTATCGATGTTGGGAATGAGGGAAAGGTGTGAACTTTTGAAGTGGTGTGTGTCAAAACTTGTTTAAAGAGAGGTGGTGTATTTCTGTGGCTCATTGCAGCAGACAAGTAAAGCTGTGACCTTGATTCGCCTCTCCTCAGTCAGTTGGAATATTCTAAATCACATGTTCAGTTATGACTGGGTCGAGGTGGTGGCTGAGGTGTACAGTACAGCATGCGGGAGTACGATAAAGACCACATTCTTGAAGTGTTCCTGTCTCTGCCAGGAGAAAGGGGAACGAGGAGGCAAGCAAAGCAACCTTAAATGATATATCTGGAAACTAAAAGTGAAACTGTAACTTGACCTTCTCAGCTTGACAACACAGAAACTTACTTATTGTTGTGAACCAAGATAATTAGCTATATGTAAATGAGAAGAGATGAAGCTCAATCTAAAAGTGACCTTTGTTACAGTATAATACTGTGTTTCATCCTTTGAGTAAAATAATAAATCTTAGGCTACATGTTAGATCATCCTTTAATCAGATTCTGAATACATTTCCAGACCAGCAGTTTTTATAGAATGTCTTGAGAAACATGAGTCTACTCAAAAGGCATTTAGCATCTTGGTGAGCCCAACATCTCTCCTCATTGCCCTGAGGCAATCTGGCCCTGTTTTCCTCGACACAGAGACAAAGTGAGAGAGAAAAATAAAGATAGCGAGGGGATTTAATCTCAGTAGCCCTGTGCTCAAAGGAGCATGCAGACTCAGTAATAAAACGCTGATGTAGGTCCAGGTTTAACCATTTAAGCCCTGGGCCTATTTTTCAGGCCTCAGGCTCGAAAATGACATGCCCAGAATGAATGACTATATCTTCACTTCTAAAAGGGGTATATGAATAATATTTATTATCAAAGCAATGATACACCTGTGAGTTGGCTGTAGAAGTGTCAGAATCAATTTAGATGTTGCTGTGTCAGAGTCAATTCAGATGGAACATAGTACAAATATATAAATTCTAATCTCTGCCTAAAATTATTTATTATTTATAGTGAAAACCACCCTTGAATGATGGGATAGGAGCCCAAAACCTTTAGGGATCCAAACCACAATATGTCATATGTACCCTGTGTCAAGACTAGAT